TATTATTTCACACAAACTCTTCATTGCATTAAATTTACTCTTCATTTCAATCAACGAAACACTCACTAATTTTGAACACATTTTATTAAATGTAGAAAATAGTAAATAAATTTCAAAATATAAACTTAAAATGAATTAAATTATACTTTTGAAGAACTGAAACAATGGTTTGAAAGGATGTGTTTGTAAACTGAAACCTTATTTAAAAAATAATGCCAACCAATACAAAACAAATATGTTCCCTTACACTTCACAAAATGTTGACCATAAATCATGGTCCATGATAATAACCAGGACGTGACAAATGCTAGATTAATTCCAAAATTAATTTTAGTAACTATTTGTTGTGTTTGAACGATATTTAACGCATTAAATGTTTGGAAATAAGGATTATTTATCACATGCTTTGAGCACTAAATACTTTTGAAAGTCCGGTTTCTTAGACTCTCAGTCCTTTCTGTGTGTTTGTATGGACTCAACACTTGTATTGCAGTTAAAATGTGAGTTTTATTTGTCTTTATTTAAAGCTTTTACACAATTAGTTCACCAAAAATGCTAAATATAATAAACCAATCAATAGATAGTACAGAAAGTGTGCCCCCATTAGTGAACCCCAAACTGACCATCAGTTTAGTAGTGATTGTGATCTCAGAGCGCATACACTGACTATATATCAAACAAATTCATAAAATCAAAGTTATTGTCTATCATTATTTTTTACCATAATTAACAAATCACAAACATATAATGAATATGACTACGTGTGAACATCGTTTAAACCATTATGGTAAATTTAGTTTTACAATAGTTATACCACCAGATGCTATAACAGTCAAAGATCTCAAGTGTTGTCTACAAAACTGTATTTATTACGACGAAAACACCGAATCGATATCTATATCAGATCACTCGGGAGTATATGCAATGTACCATGATGATTTTAAATTATCGGATTTGGACACATTCTACCAGATAAAAGTGTCACAAATATTGATGTCTAAACCCGTTAATTCCCAGCCATCACAATCATCCAGGTATGTTTTTTTAATTGAGATTTAATAAATATAATTAATAAATTAAATGTTTGAAATTTTGAAATTAAAGTCTGAGTGAAGAGTCGGACCGAAAGTGTCGTGAATTGTGTGAAGAGATGTCGGCTCTNTTAATTGAGATTTAATAAATATAATTAATAAATTAAATGTTTGAAATTTTGAAATTAAAGTCTGAGTGAAGAGTCGGACCGAAAGTGTCGTGAATTGTGTGAAGAGATGTCGGCTCTGAAGGCAAGCAATGAGTCCGAAGTGAAGGCATTGAAAGCACAGCTCAAGACATCCAACGACTCAATGCATACAATGACTGAAGAGATGGAAAGTTTGAGACAACAATTGATAACATCTGAGAAGAGGTTTTGTTATATTCAATACAAATGTGTTTTTATTGAAACTAATATTTATTTGTTATACAAAATACTCATATCTTTCGCAGTAATCAAGAAATGGTCGCAGATTTGAGTGAATTGTCGGATCAAAAAAGTTGTTTAACTCAAGAGATATCGGATTTGAAGGCGAAGAATGACACAGAAGTACAGCTCAAGACATCATTGAATTCAATGGAGACAATGGTTACCGAAAATAATAATTTGAAACAAACAGTGTTTACATTATCGTCATTATTCACTTCAAACATGAGGTCTGATATAATTATTAGCTAAAAATTTTTATTACATTTATTCTAACGTTTATATAAATTAATAATTATTTTCAGTAATGAAAATATGGGCGCAGATTTGAAGCACAAATTGTGTGAAATGTCGACAAAAATTAATGAATTGAGTGAAGAGTTGTCGGCATTGAAGGCATCCAAACATATCATTGAATCGGAAGTCAATACTTTGGCTCAAGAACTCAATGCACAGAATATTAGGTTTGATTTTAATTACAATTAAAGTGAAAAATAAGTTATCAATAATTATTAAATTAAAAACCTTTATAACAATTATATTGAAATTAAAACAGGCATTCAGTGAGTGATTCGTCTTCCAGTTGTTCATCGATCGGATCCCACAATCAATTGATCACTAATTCAGACAAAACCAGAAACGAGATCAATAGTGGGGAATACAAGACACTAATGGCTGAACACAAGTCACTCCGGAAGCGATACTCGGATCTCGTGGTCACTCACGAAGAATACGTATCGACGCTCGAGTCGGCTCAGGAGGAGAGTCGCAGATACAGGAAGTGCTTCGAAGAGAGCACTCAAGAGCGCAACTTTGCCATCATTGAGAGGAATGGACTCAAACAACAGTGCACTCAAGCCATCAAACAATGGGATAAAGCTCTTCGAGAGGTCAACGAACTGAAGGAACAGCTGACCAGATGTGAGCGCCAGAGGAATGAGTCCATGAAAGAGAGCAAAGCGGCCAAAGAGATTCATCACAGCTATCCATCGGATGTCTCCACTTCTAGGGCTCAGACGGTTTCGACGACGAGCGCACCACTAGTGCCGTCGCCGGCCAATAGCCCGGTGTGTCCGGACACGAGTCACCCGACGTTCAAATCAAGCGGTGATACCATAGATAAGCCGAGCGCTGAGTTGGCGTCACTTCGCAAACAAGTGGTGCGCTTACAGACAGAGCTCAGGGAAGCGCACAACGAGGTGGAGGTCTGTGGGCGTCGACGCGTTTGGGCTCTCAATGAAAGGGACAAAATGAAGGCTTTGGTCACTGAGAATGAGATATCGTTGACAGCACTCGAAGGCATCAGACAATCGATCAAAGACTCGGATGACAGCGAATCCGTGGCCAGTGTTGGCACGCATTCAAAATAAGACTATGATTGAGAAATGATTTTTGTATTGACTTTGAAATTGTTTAAAACTAATATTTTATTAATGATTTGATTTTCTTATAACATAAGTCGAGATTTTAATTATGAATACTATTATAATTATCCCAAAAATATTGACTTATAATTTTAAATACTTTTTGTCAATCAAATTTTAATCAAGATTTTTCTCACAAATGTATGCGTTTGTAAAAATTTTTATTGTGTTTTGAAGTGTAGTTTTTATCACAATTATATTTGAATCTCTTTTCATTCAAATGAACGCAACTTTTGTGTCGAAATAAATGTTGTTATTCTCTAAAACTTTGTGGCATTCATTGAAATCATAAATAAATCTCAATTTTAAATGAATAATATTTTTGTGTCTAATTAAAT